ATTCCTGAAGGAGAATGAGGTACAGCCCAAACTCAAGAGTGCCCATATGCGGAATCACTGAAGAATAGATAATACACTATAAATCAAGTTTCCCTTCCTTCAGCAGACAAAACCTAGGGAATTTCATTTCACAACTGGAATGTGTCCCTGAAAAGAGCAATGAAAGAAACCGTGACAGCTTTGTACTGAATGAAGAGGGAAAAGAAAAGACAAAAATGCAAGTAGCTGAAAATACTCCGATTTAAAGCCTCTGGCTCTCAGAAACAATATACAAATCTTTGTTCCTTCAAGCACTTTCCAATTTACCAAAGCAGGAAACTGAGAACGAAGGTTTAGGAGCTGGCATGTTACAAAATATTGCATTTCATACACCCATTGGTATGAGTTTCTAGGCAATAGTTTAGTTTTCCAGAAAAAAAAGCTAAGCATACATTTCTGCTTTGAAATGCATTGACAAAGAACAGCAAACATTAAAGTAATTCAATATTCAAGAATGGCCAATATATGACTATATAAAAAAACACCCAACTTTTTTATTTAGCCATTCATATTCAGAAAGTCTCTTCTCTCACTATATAGTATAGCAAATGCATATATCACAGAGACAAAAAAGCCCACTGAGGAAATTAAAGCACACAGTGATTAATTCTGAACATATCTGATAAATAATTATCCGTGATTAGTCCAGACCAGGAATGGCTTTTGACCCTGCAAGGCTGGAAGAATTAAGTATATTAATTAGTCTGGGTTTATTTGACATTTTTAAAGCTCTCCACACTCCTATTGACTTTAAATCCAATCAAGAAGTCAATACGAATGTAGCAAGAAAACAAAAGCATACACTGATCAAACCAATCTTGATGGAGATACTGATTGAAATATAGTAATTTAATGAGAATCAGTCGTCACCTGATGAACCCCATAAAATGAGATAATGGAAGCATACTGCAGAAACCACTTTGACATCTTAGTATTTCAGTACCATCATGTACACGTTCAGTTATATTTGCATACGAGTAAAAAAAAAAAACTGCTTTGGGTTGGATGCACACCTAGGCAAGCTACAACGTGGTTGAATTCACTATAGCTATTACTATGGAGCTGAAGATAATCAGGGAAGAATTGCATCTTGCAAGAATAAAATTATGAAGCAAGATAAAACTTCTTTTTTACTTTGTTAAAGAGATTAACTAGCAAATAAAGGGAAAATCATAAGGGAATAAAGAGAAAACTCAGAATTATTATTGTGGCATTACATAAGATAGGCACAGAAACAAATAATCTAAAGTCTTTCCTCTCCCTCAACTTTTGTAGAATATAGATGAAGATATAGAGCTACCAAATTAAATGCATTTGAATACATGTTTATTTCTTCAGACATGCTTGTGCTCAGTGTGTTACTGTAATACTTTGCTTTTAGCAAGTTTTTATGCAACTGAAAGCTACAAAGAAAATAATTTTGAAGTCTTAGTTTCACTTACTATTATTGAAGAGAGTAATACAGTCAGCTCAATCTATTATGCATTCCCTGGAAAACCTGTGTGCTATCATAATAGTGAATAGATACTCTAGCAAGGTGAAATTCAATCAGAATCAGAAAGAGACAGGCAAGGACACAAGAGGATAAATACGCCTCAGCCTACCAGCTGAGGCTGTCACAGGCAAAGAAAATAGGCTTCAGGTCTTTAGTGACAGAAGGAACAGAGAACAGCAGCATGGGAAAAGTATTCTGAGGCACAGAAGCATTGCTGAAGCAAAGCCCAGGGCATCCTGGACACCAAAACTAGCTCTATTGAGACCACTATTGAGGCTTCCTTTTTCTAACTTGTTACCAACACCTAAGCAAATTAAAACCACCTCTAAATACTGGAAATAAACATTTAATTTTAAATTTGAAGGTGCAGCTAGTGATAGATCTGAAACTTTCTGTACGTAAGTAAAAAAATTACTTGGTTTGCACAGAGCAAGAAGGGAGAAAAATTATTGGAGCATTTACTTATAATGCTTAAAAAGAGACTTCTGCTCTGAGAATGCGGAGTTACTGGGAAAAGCTAGAGAACAATTGAAACTAAAGTATTCAAGGCTGGAAATTCAGCTCTGTGTCTTCATTCTGCAGCCAAAGGTCCACAAATGAGTCTGTGATGATTATTACAGTCTGCATATAGCATCTCTTTCCGAACAGCAGTATGATTCCAGTTCCATCCTATGTAACACCAGATCTAGTTCAATAGCAGAGGACATTTTTTGTGCAAACTGACTTTGATTTTGAGCAGAGGACAGTTTTGGAATGTGTTTATGCCCACTTCACAGGGAGTAATAAGGAATGCACACTCATCACTAAGTTAACAAACTTACCACTATCCATGATGATTACTGTCAAGGCAAGGAACTTGCAAATATCAAGTCTGTAACAAGAAAGGAAACATCCTGTTTAGTTTGTAAATTCTGATGAACTTGCAGAAGTTTCTCTTGATTCCACATGTTGCTACAAATGTATCAGTGTTGGAAACCCCATGATCACGATTAAACCTTTTTTTGAACTGTACCAATACTGCATACAGACTAAATTCGGTAGTATAGGAATACTATCCAAAAAAAGGTAACTCTTGTGAAATGGTGAATGCTTTAACCTTTTTCAAAGCTTTCCATATTTAGAATATGCAAAAATGCTGATATGAAATAGAAGGCGTATATAATTTTAAACAAATCTGCAATCACTGTTTTCCCTAATCAAACTTGAAAGGTATTACATTCTCCACTGTAATTACTTAATCCACATGCAAGACTTAAATTCACTCTGCAGAGATCACCAAGTCAACTCATTATCTATGGATCACATTTTTTAAAATTAGAATGAACACATGCAAATTCATTCACAGTCTGCTACTGATTAAAACAGGATTCCTGCATAAAATTCAATGGCAGAACAAGACCTGTGATTTGGCAAAGGAACTAGAAATACAGGAGAGGTTTCTAACCTGCCCTACAAGAGCCTACATGTACTTTATACCTCATCTTGGAAAGAGAGCAAACAAAAGATGCTCTCAGTCAGGAAAGCGCCTAAAGCTCATTGTACCCACAAGGCAGAGTGCCAACAAGAACTGCATCCGAAGGCAGGAAGATTAGTTTGAGGGACTATTTTCAGTTTCTTGGAGTAATTTTTCTTAGCAGATTACTCTATACAATGACAAAACCACCTTTGCCCCGGCTTCTTGAATAAAGCTAAAATTAGTGTCATTTTCTGGGTTGTCACATTGTTACCACTCAAATATTTGTCCTGAACAAATTGCCAAGCTTTGACTAATAAGATGGTCACCAAAAAAAAAAAAAAAAAAAATTATTTGGCTACTGGTGTAACTATTCTCTTCATCTGTTACATTATGAATGTCTTTTGCCATTTATTACCTGCCAGTTTCAGGTGGCTGTTTTTGCAATAGGAGCTCAAGATTCCCAGTAGTAGAAAAGCAAGACCCATGAGTGCTCACTTGCTCTGGTGGAGTGGCAGTAATACAGGGCATAAACTGCATCTTGCCAGGCTTCCCCTCTCTAATGGGGACAACTTGTCTGCATTAAATTTAGAATTTAAAAAATAAATAAAAAAATCAGGTAGTCTTTCATATTTCACCCTTTAACAAGTAACTTGCATGTGGATTTCAACAACATTTAAAAAAAAAAAAAATAAAAAAGACAAAATATGCATCCACAACCATGCTCCCTGAGTCACAACTAGATGGCTCTGGAACTGTGATGGAAACGAGGAGACTAATATGCCTCTTCCCTGCTACTGGATGTTGTACACCAGGAGCAGAGCAAGGCACTGCCAAGGCATGCAGTGCTGCCTTGGCACCTGACACTAGGTGCTTGGAACATCACAGCCTTTGTGTATGTCAGCATTTCAATGTTCATTTCCAGATGGGGAAAATGTGTGGAGAAGAAAGAAACAGCACCAGTTTTCATCAGTGGAAATGGAGGCAGGTATATTATGAACTAGTGACAAAATGAAGATTTGCTGAATTGGCAGCAAAAAAATGTATTACATTTCTCTTCACCTTTCCTTCATTACGAAAGGAACCAGTATGCTCTTCTCTAGGAAATACCAAATACAGCTTTCCAGCAGCTGTGGTGTAGAACCTTTCCTTCAAATATCTACATTAGATTCTTACAGCAATTACAAGTATTTAGATCTACCTGTAACTAATTTTGTCCATTTTACTACAAACGTGTCTTTTTTATGCTCCCCTGCCTTCCCTCTCCATACGTCCCCAAACTTCTTCATTTCCAAGTACCCACAAAACATAGCTAGCTTCTTGCTATGACAGCCAAGAGGTTGATTTGAGGACACGGGGAATGGCTGCCCTGTCACTACATGGACATTACACTTGGAGAACAGACTCTCCCACTGCAGAGGAACCACTTGGGTCTTTGCCCTCAACTGCCCCTTCACATAAGAGAAGGAGCTTAATTATTTTTTGGTCCTCTACTCTCTGACAGTCTTGATTCAAATTGACTAAAGAGTTCAAAGGTTGTTTGGAAGAAGGGATCAAACAAACAAGTACATAATAAAGCTGAAAAGGGCTGGCAATACTACGAGAACATCTTGACTTGCTACTGACTCATTTATTTCTCTACCCAACTCTATTTAGTTTCCTGCTTTTAAGTACTCACGAACCTTACTGAAGGTTAGGATGCTCCTATGGTGTCAAAAGCAATGTTTTTCATATATACACACAAATGCGAGAACATAAATCCTTCACAGCCAGTATCTTACTAGTAACACCAATATTTACTGTAACAGGAATCCCTCTTCCAACTACCTTCTATATATTATCCCCTCCACACTCTGCAAGAAGTTATACATCACCTTATATTTGCTTGTGGAAAAAGTGACAATGCGGTGAGCAGCACGGATAGCTCTATAGCCAAGTGCCAAATTCTGAGTTCAACGGCAAGCTGACATGCCTGACCAACAAGTGACCTTTTCTGCCTGCCTACTTGCTGCCAGTGTAACAGTAAAAAACAAAACTAACCTAAAACAATCAACCTTCCACTTCTAGTAGAAAATGTAATGACATAACGGAAATTCAGGGAGTTTTAAAACACATGAGACAGCAAAGGAGACATACCAACAAAGCCCTTGCTGTTTAACAGCAGTCATGTGCTCACCACCAAAGGGCTATAGCATCTTACTAAGGAAAAACAATTTGCATGAAATTTTAAAGAACTACCACTGAAGAAACAAACCAAGCTTTACAATTCTTTCCACAACTAACCTAATTATTTTATTTTTTTTCAATCCTGAAAGTGCCCAAACCTTTTATACACTACATATAAGCACAAAGCACAGAATATTTTTATACACATTTCCAAAGCAGGTAGTCATACTCTAGTAGTGCAACGTATCCCTTAAATGGGGAAGCCAATTAATTTCAGCACTGAATGTTGTTGGCTCATGACAGTATTTCTGCAAGATTTTGTTGCATTTGTCAAGATAACCGTATTCGGTTGGCAGGTATACTTTTTCTGGGAACACTCCCTGACTCAAGTTTAATGGAAACTTGTGTGCAGCACGTACTGTTAGAGGACAGAAGATCTGATGGAGGGCATACAAGTCCAAACTGCCTTCACTATTCTCACTCACTGACTTGTCATATATTCTAGGGAGACAGAATATAAAGAACAAAGCAAGTCCTTAAGGGAAGGGATTACAAAGAGAAGAGAAAACAAGCATAACAAAAAGCAGCAACAGCATTTTCACACACTTAGTTTCTCACAGGCTGTGTTAACAGTGATTTAAAGCACTGCCAGGCCATCATGCTCCTCTTGCAAATGGGGAGGGAATACACATCACAGTACAAGGCAGGGAAGAGGGAAGTGACTTTTTTCATTCTACAATACAACTCTAACAAGGAATACAGCTGCTAATATTAGTTTCGTAAACTGTACAATTAATGAGGCCACTGGGATGCAATTACAACCAGGTACCACATAGAGCTATACAATTTTTTAAAGTTATAAATATTTAGGTTCTTCTAGAGCTTTTTATGAAAGTAGATACATTCAAGGGACAATGCTAACTAAAACATAAGTAGATGTTCAGTCTAAAAATAAACACACTTATTCTAATCTATACCCCCAAACCAGGTGCAATGCAACAACTGAAACACTCCTGTAGGAGGCTTGTTTAGAAAAAAAATGACAACATTAAATAATTACACAGGAATACAGATGATATCTGCCTGACTGCCTTTTATTCAAAATATGTTATGCGCCTACCTAAAACCCCCAGTCCCAGCACGTGTGTCTTTTACATCCTTGGAAAAAACACTGCAAAAGACTACAATTTTACTTATTATGACCTGTTTCAAAGAACTTTTTCCCAAGGAAAAATGCACCAAAGAATTTACATGCTTTCATATACCGTAGAAATACATTGATTTTATTTTGAATAGGAAGTCTGTAGATAATGATATTGGAGTAGCCTGTATTTATTAAGTTTGGTCTGCTTGCAACAGCAAAGTCTTCCAGAGAATTTGGGTGGAAATAAAGAGGGATGGAACATTTTTTAAGGTGCTTAATCAGACAAGGATAGAAAAGATTTCTCCCACCTGAGACTTATTCCAGGGCAAGGATAAGAGTGAATAAGAGAACTGAAAAAACCTCTGCCTTATAGATGCTGCCTAATCACAGCATTATAAAACATTATCATTCATTTTGATTACACATGGACTCAAAACCACAAACCAGATTGCTAAAAGAAACCTGTACTCAGTGGACTGCCATTACGCCTTAAAACCAATAAAATACCACTACTACTCACAGAACAAGCACGCTGAGTACAACTCTTGAACACCGCCCTGTTAGCACAGAGAAGATGGTTCATCATGACTGCAGCTGGAGAGAACTTCAGCTGCCTAAGACTGAAGTCTAAGCTTCTGCCTCATTACCCCTTCTTCCAAAGTAACTGTGACGTGTGCTGAAAAGGCCCCATGTTGGGTGCCAGAAAGGACTGTCACAATTTAACCCCATCTGGCAACTAAGCCCCACACAGGCACTCACTCACTCACCCTGCATTGGGATGAGGAGGGAAAATGGAAGACTGAAAGTAAGGAAACTTGTGGGTTGAGATAAAGTTTAACAGGTAAAGCAAAAGCCCCACATGCAAGCAAAACAAAACAAGGAACTCACTCATTCACTGCCTCCCGCAAGCAGGTGTTCAGTCATCTGCAGGAAACCAGGGCTCCATCACACATAACGATCACTTGGGAAGACAAATGCCATCACTCCAAATGTCCCCCCCTCTTCTTTCTTCTTCCCCTAGTTTATATGCTAAGCATCACCCCATATGGTATGGGATACGCCTTGGGTCAGTTGGGGTCAGCTGTCCCAGCTGTGTCCCCTCCCAACTTCTCATGCACCCTCGTTTCCTCACTGGTGGGGTGATGTGAGGAGCAGAAAAGGCCTTGGCTCTGTGTAAGCACTGCTCAGCAATAACAAAGACACCCCTGTGTTATCAACACTGTTTCCAGCACAAATCCAAAGTACAGCCCCATACCAGCTACTATGAAGAAAATAAACTCTATCACAGCCCAGACCAGCACTTTTAGTAAGGTTTTTTGTTGTTGTTGTTGTTTTAAAGCTGTGGCAATATTCTGGCTGGTTATTCTCTGGTTACTTCCAGGCTCCTCCTGCTCAAAGGGCAGTTGCTATAAGATATCTCTTCCTTCCCCTCCCCTTCAAAACCAGACAAGGTCAATCTTCTGATAAACACACTTGGCCAGTAGGACATCTGGAAGAAGTAACACTCACCCTTTGGTGAAGGAGAATTTTGGCAGGTTGCATTGTTTTAAAGTGCATTGGAACCATCTGGGGCAGTTCTTGGAAGGCATAAGTGAACACTTATGTAACTGTATCTGTACTGAAACCAGAATTGCACAAATCCTCAAGAGACTGTCTTTCTGAGATGCCTACATAGTGGCATTTCAGATACCTCAGTCTTCTATAAGCTACGGTTAAAAGACACTATTTTACACTAGCAAATTCCACTATGCTTTGGAAATTAAAATTTGGACTATTTATCTTGATAATCCATCTAAGTGTTGACGTAACGATAACCAATTTCTCTCCTTTTTCAAGTGGGAGTGGTGAACAATTAAATAAAGCTTTTACAGAAGGACATGTTTTTATCCTGATTTTGTCTGGACACAAAACTAATGAATCTGTGTTATCTTCTGTTCTCTCCACCCTCTCCTCCCCCAATAGCTTTTAACTAAATCTAACAAGGAGATTTCTTCTGTGCTACCGTAAGTTTTCCACTAAGATCAATGACCAAGAAGAACAGAGAAAAGCCGTTAATGTTCTCACTGAAGTATAGATGGGGTTTACCAATTGTGGCAGTATCTCAGGTAGCACAGCGCATTTGGCAGCTGTAAATCATTACCCATTTTCGCCATCAGAAAGCAGGTAGTCAGAAAGCATACACCCTGCTCAGGACCAGCCAGACTGTTGCAAGCTGGCAAGTCAAATAATA